CTCTGGGTTCACAATCTGGTCTTGATTCATCCTCTGAACACTTTGAGGGAAATAGTGTCATATGGGGCTTCCCTTCCCTTGAACATCAACACCCTGAACTTTCACTTCTTCCTCTGGCTGTGATGGTTGATTTCTCCTATGTCATTACTGTTGAATCTGAAAAGCATCTCTCATTTTAAACTATTCTCCACTCTCTTTATGACAATTTTCTTTCCTGGGAATTTGTACAGGTCTCTGGAAGCAGCTAAGTGCAGTGAGAATTGCACAGGCCCAGATGTGGGCCCTAGTTCTTAGCAGACATGCACAATTGGACATGTCACACTCTTAGACAATGTCCTTCATGTCAGTGTCCAACCCAAGAGTCCCTACATAGCAAGATGACGTGCAAATAAGGCCCCTCTGGTCATAAAAACCAGCCCAGCCCCGACCCTGCAGCTCTGGGACAGGAACCCAGCCCCGGGATCCACAGCTGTTCTCATTCCCTGATCAGGACTGAACACAGACCACTCACCATGGGGCTTGGGCTCAGCTGGGTTTTCCTTGTTGCTATTTTAGGAGGTAATTTATGGAGAACAAGAGACACTGAGAGTGTGAGTGGACACGAGTGAGAGAAAGAGTGGACGTGTGAGTTTCCTGACCAGAAATTCTTTGTGTTTGCAGGTGTCCAGGGTGAGGTGCAGCTGGTGGAGTCTGGGGGAGCCGTGGTGAAGCCTGGGGGGTCTATGAGACTCTCCTGTGCAGCCTCTGGATTCACCTTCAGTAGCAGGGATATGAGCTGGATCCTCCAAGCTCCAGGGAAGGGGCTGGAGTGGGTCTCGTACATTAATCCTGGTGGAAGTAGCACATCCTATGCAGACTCTGTGAAGGGCCGATTCACCATCTCCAGAGACAACGTCAAGAACACGCTGTATCTGTAAATGAACAGCCTGAAATCTGAGGACTCAGCCGTGTATTTCTGTGCATGAGACAGAGTGAGGGGAGGTCAGGGAGAGCCACACAACCCTCCCTGCAGCCTCTGGAGACAGAGCTGAGCACCCAATCAGGACACCAGGGGGCGCTCAGGACCCGCAGGCTCTGTGCTGCACCCACAGGACCAGGGGCAGGTGGTGTTTGTGGCTCATTTTTCCCA